ATTGAATTCACTACGAATTTTGGCCATGATAAACGGCACTTGGAATGCAATCTTAGATTCCCTTGCCAATTTATTCATCAAGCTGTTTGCTTTGCAAGTTTTAGAAAGCACGGTGGCTGAGATTTGAATTCGATTTCGCCAGGTAGAAATTGTATGATTTCTGTTTTTGTAATGAAAAGAGTCGTTAACTCAATAAAAACTATTTTTTGACAAAAGTGATTTTGCAAAAATCACTCAAAAAGGCAAATAAATTTTAAAAATATTGGTGTTAAACTAATGATGCCACAAAATTCATATGATTTGAACTTACTCAAAAGTTTGGGGGATTTAAGTCTGCACACCCCCCTTAAAATTTTTCTGTGCGCTTGGATTTTGTTACTTCTTTTTTATGAAAGATGCTTTCAGAACAAGAAAGTAACGTGTCCATTTTTATTACAAAAGTAGTTTAGACAGTTTTCGCTGATAGATCTGTGTTTACTTGCCGCAATTTATTATTTGGTTAGAGTTGCCATATTCGTAACCGTTATTTTCATATATGAGTGAGAAATTTGGTTAGTTCTATCAACGGATCTCTCCATTTTACAAGTTTGTTTGGCGATTTAATCAGCTATCTGATTTCCCGGTATCCCCACATGAGATGGTATCCACACAATACGTAGTTGTTTATGATTATTTTGCAGTCACAAGGTCTTTTTTAATCTGTTCTAAAATCGGATGATTCGGAAAAATTTTCTGAATTCTCTGGATTGCATTTAAGGAGCTATGAATATTACTCTCATGTTTTTCAGGTCGACTAAGAGTTTCTTGTACTGCCTTGGATATCGCAAAAAGTTCATCAGAGTGTTTCGAGTAGTCCGTAGGTAGTGGAAACTTGAACACAGAATTCTCTGTGACAAGGGCGAATCCTTCAATTCGGGTGTTTTTGATGCATCCCATGAAGGGGTATTGTCCTTAGTATAAGTTGACAGATCTGTGTTACAATATGGAATTTGTATGGTCCATGGAGGAGCATAATCAATATTGGTATGCATAATACCCGAGAATGTGAAGTTATGAAGAATGCATAATTAGATCATTAGATTAGGTTGATGATTAAGTAATTGGATGTGTTTGTTCCAAGTAAGTTTTGAATAAAAAATCATAGCTAGAAATCTAAGTTCCTCAACGTTTTCTAAAACTTGATCATACAGTGTTAATTTTGGAAGATTTGCAACAATTTGATGTTTTCGTGAAAAGCACATTACATTGGTTTTAACCGTAGAAAATTTCAGTCCTGTTTTTAGACCATTTTTGTAGGGAATTGATAGAAAGTTAAATAATCTTTGAATTAAAATTCTTATAAGAAATATAGATTACAAGGTCATCTGCATATACATAGGATTGCTTTAACAGGATTTCAGATACTGTTAATTGCAACTAAAAAGAGTGTTGCGCTTAGTGTAGACCCTTGGGGTATGTCATTTTCTTGTTTATAGTATTTTGAAAGTTCCTGATTTGATTTAACTCGGAAATTTGTTGATAAATGAAATGAAAATTCGAAACTATTTTACGGATGTTGATGAATGCTATAAAATTTTCCATCTATGCTCCAATGCTGTAATTTAACAATAACGTCATATTTCCATATAGTATCATAAGCTTTAATTATATTAAAGAAGACAGCTATAACTAGTCGATTAGTTGCAAATGCCTCATTAACTGAAGATTCTAGTGACACTAAATTATTGTCAGTTGTGTTTCTATTTTTCCTAAATCCGCTTTGCTGATAAACTATTAGATTTTTTTATTCTAAAAAGAATTGTAACGGTCTATTTAAAAAATTTTCTAGTAATTTACATAGGCCGATATTAAGGATATTGGTCTATATTCCGGGGATATTCCGGTCTAAGGATATTCGGGCTTGACTTGTTTTTGTTAGGTCTCAAAAGAGGAATTATTGTAGCGGTGCTCCAGGATTTAGTAAATTGTTTAGTCCAAAATAAAAAATTGAATATATCTAAGAGTAGATGCTTAGCAGCTAAAGGAGTATGAATTTAAAAACAATTTGAAATTTCATCTGGTTCAGGGCTATATTTTTTAAGTCCTTGTAGTGCTTTGTTTAGTTCTTGCATACTTATTGCCACATTAGCGGACTGATGGAATCTATAATTTTGACTTTTTTTCCTATTTTCTTTTTGTTTTCGACACAATTGGTCATGTACGGAATCACTTGAATATGTCTGAAATGAGTTCGCTAAAGCGTTGGCTATTTGATTGTTGTTTGTAATTTAGTTTCCCTCAATGTCAAGAAAGTTAATTTTGTTGCTGTATGAAATGCCTCTAAAATTCCAAGGATTTTATTCCAGATCTCTGATGCAGGAGTATTTTCTGTTATTGTGGAAACATAATTTTGCCATGATTCACGTTTCTTAATTACATACCTTGCATAGGCTATATATTTTTTAAAAGCTGTTATGTTTTCCGATGTATGATGTTTTTTTAATACATCAAATGCATTGTACACTTATTTTTAGATTGTTTTGTAGTCTTAAACTGACTATAAAAGAACAGAAACAAATATCAACGTTTGATATACTTTATGTATGTTTTTAAATATGCTCTCCAAGGTTTTAGTTCTTTCATTCCTTAATATTATTTATATTACAAAATCTCCATTATACAACGTATGAATATTTAGACCAATCTCGATGAATTTAAAATAATTTTTGATGTTTACTTGAAATATTAATAGTAAATGATATATTCCAGATATGTTGTAATCATACTTTTGATGAAATTATATATGATTGACAGTTTAATATTGAAAAATCTGTTCATATAATAGGAGCTTCGTCAGCAAACACTCTATTTCATTAACCAAGATTGCGAAAATCTGCACCAACCACCAGATTTAATTAATATCTCCTTATTTGCTTAGGTGTATTTGATGAACGTCAAAAGTAACATACTTACATATTTACAAAAAACACGTGTATTTATTTTCAAAAAACAGAAGCTCCATATTAATATGGTCCCTGGCAATTTCTATTTGTTTTATTTGAAACAATTATTGACAAATCACTTGTAGTGTTCACTTCTGTCTAGATAACAAAGTTGATAATCCCTACATGCACTTAACTATTTACCAACTTTTTCTCAGTACCTTACAAGTCGCTTTTTAATGAAAGTATCCCATTGGTGTCTTCACTGTTCACGTCTTTTATTGTTAATCAATTATCTGCAATAAAATTGTTTTTTTGTTCATCAGATTTTAGTTAAATTTGTTAAATCATTTTCAAAATTGCTATTACTTACCCAATTTTGCTCTTTACCTTTGCGCTCATTTAAGTAAATGGAACTATTACAATCTTTACATCAAACTGTAATCAAACACTGTTGAAATACATTTATATTTAACAGTTTTATTGAAAATTAATGATAGAATAAGAAAAATCATAATGAAGTATTTTACATTTTTCGCCCCTACTGCCTTTGCTTCCGATAACACTTACGATTCATTTTCTCTTTGAATCACTCTTATACACACTTTAAAATGCGTATGTGGCGCAGTCTATCACGAAAATTAGTCGTTTTATTAGTTAAAAAATTTATTGTTTTTTAAATTTGTATCCAAACGTTACCCTGATTCCTCTCTCCACATCAAACTCTTTTTTAAAGCCACTTTATTAAATACATCTTTTACTTTACATCCTAAAATCAAGATAGGACGTTTCGATTCTCGCTCTCTAAAACCGATTCATTGTATTCATTGAAAAATGTTTGGTTTTGATCCTTCGTCATTACAAAACGATTAGAGTATTATTTCACAGACGAACGGTAATGTTCCAAGATTAAAAGATTACAGTTATTGTCTGTTGCATCAGATAGAGAATGCGGTCCGGATTTTGCTATACCGACACAGGTGGTAAAGTTACACTTTAGGGGATGCACGCAAAGCAGTCACTGCATGTAATTCTTTATGATTTTTAGAGGCCAGGGATGGCGTATGTATAATATAGGATCACATAAAAGCTTCATGATAAAACCTACAGTTATATTTAGATCTGAGAAATCACATTCCAGTACCACTCATATTGATTAGTGAGATTCGGTTGATACCCCTCTACACCTGGCCATATTATTATGACCGACTTCTTCACAAATTTTTGTTTAGAAGTTTATTTTGAAATTCAATTTTTTACGTAAAATGCTTTAATTATAACATATTAATACATATATTACAATTTAATAATAAACAGTAGTAAAACATTTGGGAAGATTACATATCTGTAGCCTGGTTTCAAAGATGGCCAACTCCATTTTTTTGAAAATTCAGATATTGACGGATTCCTGTGTAAAATAATATGGGGAATCCAAATCTAAATAGTTTTGGTGTCAAAAATGGCCACAACAATGTTAAAACTGCATTTGGATAGTACCCTTGGTTACAGAATTGGCCAGCTCTCAAATATGTTGGTGACAAAACGGCCATCTCCACAAAGCACCAATCAGATGGCTTCATTCTGTCACGTGACCTCATCGCCTCAGGTGAAACAGAAGACAGCAGTGAACTGAGCTATTCTGGTGTGTTGTGACTGGCGTTGTTTTATTGTTTAGTATTTTAAAGTTTTACTAATAGACTAAAAGATATTACTGTAATAAACCTGCAGAAATAACATAGAAGGAACTAATTTTAAAGAATCTCCTTTGTTGAAAGGAAGAAAGAAACTACCAAATCCTTCAAATTGGAAAAGAGCCAAACATAAGATTTTGAGAATAGTATTAAACCATAACCTAACATTGAATAAACTAATAGACAAACTTAAATAACATTCATGTAAAATTACTATTACTTAGGCCTAGGCCTAGTTATTAGAGTGAAAATGGAATAATTTCTAGTAGGCCTAACCTATTCACACTTCACATTATTTTTATTTTGCTTTAACTTTTGTTAGAATAAAATAAGTTTCCCTGACATAAAACAGTTTGTATTTTGGTTTTGAATCCAATGTTTGTTTTAGGTACAGTTTAAAGAGATTACCTGATGCTCCTTCATGTGGCCACAGAGGGAAGAAAAATTACAGTTTATTGAAGATGCAAGATATAAATAGTTTTCATAGTGCATTTTATTCTGAAAAGACAAAAGCCAGCCAAGATGCTTTCATTCTTAAGTATTGCACAGCAGAACAACCAAAAAGAACCAGACCAGGAGACGGATCAAGACATATTAAAGGCGTAACCTACCAATATTGTATTGAAACAACAGCAGGAAATAGATTACAGATATGTAGGAACACGTTTATTAATGTATTGGGAATCACAAAACGCAGAGTTGAAGGTGTTTTCACAAGATTTAAAAAAGACGGAAGTCTCATCCCCGTGGAAACTCGAGGTGGTTATAGGAAGGCTAACATATATCAGAAAAAAATTGATTCTGTAATACATTTTGTAAAGCAGTTTAAAGGCACAGAATCACATTAGAGTAGAGCGAGGAGTACTCGTATTTGTCTTGATTCCACCCTGTCTATTTCTAAAATGTGGAAGATGTACGAAGGATCTGTTGTTGATGAATTTAAAGTTAAAGAGTCGTTTTTCCGACAGATATTCGTAACTAGGTTCAACATTAGCTTTAAAAGGCCTTCGACAGATGTGTGGTCAACCTGCCTTCAGTACAAAGAAAAAATTAAAGTTGAAAAAAAATGAAGCAATATTGCAAACGCTTAAAGCAGAATACACTGTTCACACTACCCATGCTAAAGAGTTTTTTAACCTTTTGAAAAAAGATGAACTTAATGTTGCTATAATGTCGTACGACATGCAAACAAATATGCCTCTGCCAAAGCTCCCAGATCAGAGTGTGTACAATTCAAGACAGTTATACTGCTATAATCTGACAATAGTTTCTGGATGTTCTACTGGAACCGAAGCTTTACGCAAAGAAAATGTATCAATTTACTCTTGGGCCGAATACGAAATGAAAAAGTCTTCGAATGAAATAGCCTCTGCAGTATTTGAAGAACTTGAGTGCAGATCTAAATCTGGTTACTTTGAAGGAAAAGACACCTTAAGGATGGTAGCTAATGGGTGTCCAGGCCAAAACAAGAATACTATTGTATTAACGATGTGCATTTCTTGGGTGCACAGGACTAAAACTTCAACCACTACAGTGGAGCTTGTGTTTCCTCTTACCAGTTACTCATATATGCCTAGTGATAGAATTTTTGGTGGCAGAGAACGAAGTTTAAAGAAAAGAGATACAATTGTGCAGCTTGAAGAGTATCATTCAGAATTTAGTAAGCATGGGACAGTCAAACTTTTAGGAAAAGACTGGACCAAACAAAATTGGAAGTCAGAAGCTAAAAACTGTGTTAAAGACCCAAAAAATCTTTATTTTAAAATTTCACAAGTCAAAAAGTTAATTCTGACCAAGAAACAAAAGTCAGTAACTGTCAGTGGCGAACAAAACTACAATTTGGAAAAAAGTGTGGAATATAAACCCAACTGAACTTACGCTTGGAGTCAAAGTGAATGCGTAAAAAATTAAAGACGTTCACGTTTTATTACAAAAACATTCTGGTGAAATGTGGAGTGAAATGAAAAATGTGAAATGGTTTTACGAAGTGATAAACAATAATGAAATGATGCCTGAAAATCCACTTCCTGAATGTGAGTGCTTAAATAATGCAGACTGTGATGAAGTTATGGAAGTCAACCAAGTTGTAGTGGACTTTTGATTCAGAATTATTGTAAGATTCAGATATTGTCTACCGATCAAGCAGGTATCTAAAGAACTTTTGTAGTTAGTGTATTGATCGGGTTTTTAAATTTTATTGACAAATATTGTATTAGTCCAATAAATTAATATTTGTAACACATATTTCAACTTTTTTTATTTTCACCAAAAAAATCTTCAGTATATTTCTGCTGACTTAAGATATCAGCGACACGATCAGCAATATTTTTGGTGACAAAAACGTCTATCTCCACATGTTGGTTACAAACACGGCCAACTCCATATTTCAACGTTAAATATCCCTTTAACTACAGTAAAAAGCATAAATATTATTATTCCAAGATGCTCTGGAAATCATTATTAATCAACAAAAAAAAATCAACTGTACCCATTGTGTGGAAGTAGTTTAAACAGTTTTTCACCTATACTGAAAATTTTGCTAAATTGAGTTATCCATCTTTGAAACCAGGCTACAGATATTTATACGTCTTGGCATACTTTCAATTCAGTTAAAGGCACTTTGCTTGGTTTTTCGCTGTGGTTCCAATGATATATTAGTTTTTCAATTAAAACAATGTTGTGATGTGAAAACAATTTGCTTGTGAGTTTTTTGGAAATTTCCCGTTTAAGAAGTTCTCAAAAGTTTTCTATGGGAGTAAGGTCAGGAGAATTTCCCGGACAATCCAATAGAGGAATACCATTCTCAACCAGAAATGTTTTCACTGATTTTGCAGTATGACATGGTGCTTTATCTTGCATAAATATGCATTCCTCATTAGGAAACCATTCATGAACTTGAGGTATCAGTCTATTCTGTAAAATTGATATGTATTGTTCTTGTCGCATTATCCCCTTAACTATCTGAAGTCTACCAAGTCCCTTACCGCTAGAATCTCAAAAACATCATCCTCGACAATTGATTATGTGGTTTCCGATTTTCCACCCGCTGACGTCCATTCTACAGTTATTAGTGGGGGGCTTTCTGATCATGAAGCGGTATATACCAAGTTTAGCAGTTTACAAACACCTCACTCAAAAACCCGACGATTAGGTAGGATTTTTTCCACTCAAAACTTTCGTAAATTATATAATTCATGCTTGACTTCTGACTGGAGGTTTTCTTCTGGGGACATTGACTGTAATGTTAGTGATTTTCTAAATAGACTTGTATCTATTTTTAATAAAGCATTTCCTCTATTAAACATCAGGCCAAAACATAACAAACCTTGGATTACCAAAGGCATTCGCATATCTGCGAAAAATATGCGTTCTCTGCTATATATTAAAAAATTTAATGACAGTATCCCCGTCTCTGATTATATCAATAAGTACAGAAAATGCTATATAAAACTACTCAAAGTAGCCAAAAAATCCTACTTTCATAATAGCTTAACAAGCTCCAAAAATATTTCAAAAGAAACTTGGTCAATAATAAACGATTTTCGCAATAATACCAGTACAGCGAATCAAACCTTTTCTTTCCCTAACCCCGAAAATCTAAATGATTACTTTGTTAATGTGAGTAAAAATATAACCTCAACTATTTCGCCACAACAAGATCCAGTTTCCTATCTCTCTAATTCAAAAAACATTGCTAATACCTTCTTTTTAAGACCAGTTGATAAGACGGAACTCATTTCAACAATTCGTAGTATAAAAAGCACATCGTCCTGTAGTACAGATGGATTATCTATTAAAATTTTCTCAAATCTACCGCATAATGTTTTGGAGGTCATGGTCTCGCTAGTAAATGATTCCCTTGAAAAAGGTACATTCCCTAACTGCCTAAAGACTGCCATCGTCATTCCTCTTCATAAAGGTGGAGAAAAATCTGATGCCTGCAACTATAGACCTATTGCCTTGTTACCAGCACTATCAAAAATTATTGAAAGACTTATAAAAGTTCGACTTATGCCCTTTCTCCTTAAATATAATATTTTATCGCAAAATCAGTTCGGCTTTTTGTCTAATAAATGCACTAGTGATGCCATATTTTCTGTGTTACATGATGTATATCTATCACTAAACAGTAACCTCTCCTCCGCCACCGTTTTCTGCGACTATTCTAAAGCCTTTGACTGCGTAAATCACGACATTCTATTAAAAAAAATTAACTTTCTATGGAATTCGGGGTATGTCTTTGAACTGGTTCAAAACTTACTTGGTAGGTAGGAAACAATTGGTTAGAATAAATGACACCGACTCTAGTTGTAAATATATTGAGTGTGGAGTACCGCAAGGTTCAGTATTAGGTCCCATTCTATTTTTACTTTTCATTAATGACATCACTTACTTGAAAATTAAAGGGAAAATTTTTCTATTTGCTGATGATACCAGTATTACTTGGAGCAGCTCTGATATTTCAACGCTTCATCCAATTATAACCGCTGATTTTCTTATAATCAAGGCTTGGTCATACTCCAACTTACTTAGCTTTAACGTGGATAAGACTGTAGCATTATCTTATAAAGGAGTCATGCAACCCTTGCTTTTGAATGAGAGCCAAATAAATATCGTAAATTCCGTGAAATTTCTAGGTATTCTCATTGACAGTGACCTCAAATGGTCCTTGCATACTGACTCCTTAAGGAAGAAACTAGCCTCAGCTTGCTTTGCAATAAGATCTGTTTCGAAGGAACTAAATTTATCTTCTGCCAAAATGGCATATTTCTCATTGTTCGAGTCCCATCTTCGATATGGGCTTCCATTTTGGGGTTCTAGTACAGCGGCCCAATTTGATACTATTTTTAAGTTGCAAAAAAGAGCAATCCGTTATCTATTTGGTCTCAAACAAACAACTCATTGCAAGACCTACTTCAAAAATCACGGAATTTTGACGCTTCCCTCTTTATTTATTTTGGAAACGGTTTGTTTGATTCGAAAGCATCTAAACATTTTTCCCGATAGACCTGATCATGGCTACTCCATTAGAAATTCGGATTGTAACGTTTATTTGCCGATCCCGTCCACTCAGCTAGTAAAGAATTCTATTCTATATCGCGCAAAGAAACTTTATAATCACCTTCCAAGAGAAATTAAATCCGCAACATCCTTTATTAAGTTTCGTAAGGTGACAGAAATCTATCTCTCAGAAAGACCATATTATTCAGTTGACGAGTTTCTTAATGTATAACAAAGAAACAAAATTAGTATTGTTTATAATTACATTTGGGTGTCTCAAGCAGTGGCTACAATTTGTTCATTTGTTGTTGTCTGTACAAATTATGTAGGTTATACAATAATTTTACTAATTTAAAATTGTGTTATTCTGTTTTTTACTATATTTGTTTTTGTTTTATACTTTTTGTACTATTTGACCGATTTATTTTTTAGCTTTGTCCATAAAATTGTTCAATAATTGTCAGTGACAATAAAGCATATTTCTATTCTATTCTATTTTATTCTAATGGTAGACCACACCATTATTTTCGTTGGATGTTTTACAGTTTTAATAACACATTCAGTTAAATACTTTTCTTCTGGTCTTCGTTAAATATATTGAGCTTTATTGGTTAATATTTCAAAGGTACTTTCGTCACTGAAGCAAACCTGTCAAAAATGAAAAATTTTAATTTAATCATGTTTTACAAACTATAAAAATGCCAAATCTTTTTCCACTATTCTACAGTAAAGTTCTCGTATTTCTTTGCCCAAGCTAGTCTTTTTTCTTCATATTTTCTGTAAGAAGAGGCTTTTTAGCTGGACGTAGGCTTTTGAACCCCAACTCTTCTCTCTATCTTCCTTTATAATCATGACTAAATTTCTTGCCCCGCGTGGTGTAATAACTTGTTTTCTGCCACATTTACCTTTACGTTTCGTTGTTCAGGTCACATCATTCTGCAATTTTAGTGCAATATTTGCCACAGATTTCTTGGAAACTTGGATTTGGATTTTGGAAGCAATTTGGCGTTGGGAAAGAATTCCATGCATTAAAAGTGCTTTAATTTCACCAATTTTTTTAGGTGACAGATCTTTTTTCTTCCCCATGTCTAAAACAAGGGAAAGTTGAAACTCCATTTTAAAAACAACTATTTTTACAAAAAAACCCTCAAATTTAAAACAATAGAGTAGTAAGGTATAATAATAATATTCAGGAAACTTACCAATTGGTAAAAATTTAAAATAACACGTCAGATATCTACGCAATCTTAATTCGGCATATATCTACGCAAAATAAAAATCTTAAATATAAATTTCTTGAATACAATAGGTGGTCATAATAATATGGCCAGGGAGTGTAAATTACCTTTCTAATTTTAGCCTTCACATCCAAAATAAAGGCCTTAAGCTAACTCTATTAGAATCTATGGAAATTAATAGATTAAAAAACACAGACATAATTCTGATGATGATGATTTCCGCGTTGTTCCACTGCGTTGGTGTTATCGCTTCGCACAGACATTTATTGAACAGTTTAGAAAGTGTCAGTAAGAGCTTATTTCCTCCTAGTTTTAGGCTTTCGGTCATTACCTTGTCTTCACCTGGGGATTTATTGTTCTTCATCACCCGAAGCGCATTTTTAATTTTGTCAACAGTTATGCTTGGCACTAATTCTGAGCCTTGATTCTCTGTCTTTGGTAAAGGGCGTCTTTCATCGGATTCACTTGTTTCATAGAGTTGTCTGTAGAAGTCTTCCACTGTTTTTACTATTTCTTCCTTATCAGTTACAATGTCGTCTTGTTTATTTCTTAACTTATGTATGTTC